CAGCCTTCAGGCGTTTGACATGTCAAACTGTGCTGGCCAGCTGAGCCATATCTCTCAAATATTGAGTATTTAGTTTCTTTCTAATAGAATAATCCAGACACCCACCAACCATTTCGAGTAACTCATGCTCAGGCACTTGGGTAAATCACCTTGCCTTCAATAATCTAAACCCTTTTAGGTAATAATCAATCGACTCGGGCGCCTTTCGCCTCACACTAGTCAATTCTTTGAGACTAATTTTTGACTGCACCATATCTAAATCCTTATGGAATACCCTCTCTAACTAACTCCAATAATTTATGGAATAAGGAGGGAGTGTCGTGAACCATGCAAGAGCATTTTTTGTTAGAGAATTCGGGAAGAACCTCATTTTCAAATTCTCATTGTTTGCTATATCGCCTGCTTCAGTTTGGTATCGAGCAATATGTTCAACAGTCGACTTACTTATGTCTTCTGCAAACTTGGTGAATTTAGGGACTTTCCACCCCCTAGGAAGTTTTGTCTGCAAAACATATTCAGTCAAGGGAGACACGAAATTATTAAGGCCATTTTGAGCAAGGATGTTTTCGACTATGTGGGCTATATTATTCTGGCCCCTTAGGTTATCTTGTCGAACGCTCCTTACTACTTCCTCAGCATCTTAGTTCCTGCGCACCATGACTATCCCTGGGTTGTCCTGGTTATTCGTTATTCTCCTCTCATAACTTTAGGGGGTCCGAGCAGTTGAGGTATCTGTTGTTGTTATTGCCCTTGATTAAGAGGAACGCCTTCATTGTGAAGCATCCCAATTGGCCTAACTAGCACAATTGGTAACACTAGTTAGTGTTCTTAATTAGGGGATTAAACACCGTACCAATTTGCTAAGTAAACATATTAATCATCTCGTAGTTACTTTCATTCATTTGTTGTCTTATGGAAAACATGGAGTTTATCGTAAGAGTAGTCATGTTTGGGGAACAAATGGAGTCTCTCCATGTTGTGTTGCTCGACTCGGGTGACTAATAGACCCTGACGTCGTGTATGGATTCAAAGGGGATGTTATTGTTACATTATTATCTGTAAACATCGAAATATTGCTTTGTAATCTTGCCATCATTTTAGTGGCATACCATATGAAAAATCTCTCGACACCTATGACATAGTGAAACTTGATACATAAGAACGTATAGGGTCGACTAGGGGAACACTTGTCGGCTTGGGAGTAATTTGAGTATCTGTTGCCTCAGACAAATTTGTGCTAAGTTTTTAAGACATCAATTCATTTGCCGTTATTGTAAGTACAACCCATTAAATGTGTGGGGTTAAGAAGATATAACCTTATATTTTTGAGATAATATCAAGCGACTTTATAAGAATCCGTTACATTCAAAATCCAATTACATTTTATTAAAAGTTATATACATTAAATTAAATTAAAAATTATTAAATTTATTAAATCGACTTTAAATACATTGTTTAACCTATATGTAACAATGGTATAGAAAAGAGATAATTTGACAATGATGAGTCAAACTATTAAAAAATTAGATGGCATGCTAATAAATGATAAAAAAATTTATGCTGTAATTGTTCGATAGTTTAAAAATTTTAAAAATAAATATTTAATCTTGTTTATATACTCACTCACGATCAATTTAGATTTTTTATTTGTTTTGTTTGTCCTAAATTGAAATGTATATCAATTTTTCAAATTTTTATCACAACTTTATTTATATCTAAATTAGAATGATCCTCTTGTAAGAGAGGTTACTCTTTTACCAGAGACTTTTTCTAAATTTAATTTCGGCTATATAGATCGTAACTTCAAACCAATATTTATATTTTTAAGTTGACAATAAAATAACTGATTATAATTTCTAATACTGAGTAATATAAATAATTATTTAATTTATTTTATATAAATATTATAATTGATAACACTTTTAGATTTATATAATTAAAATTTCTTCATTTTTATTATAAAAATCTAAAAAACATATAAAAATATTTTAAAAATAAATTATTATATATATATATATATATATATATATATATATATATATATATATATATATATATATATATATATATATATATATATATATATATAAAATAAAGGTTATAAATGCTTAATTTATATTTTAAACATTATATTTCGATAAAATAAAATCTCATTTTATCATAAATACACATATTTTAATAGTTTTAAACCCGTAAATAAACATAGTCTTAAAAAAATACTGTCAGAAATTTAGTCATGAATTAAATATAACATTGGAATTAAAAGACAAAAAGAGAAAATTTCAATTAAAAGTAAATTTGGTAAGAGACTATTTATTTATTTTAATTTATAATTAACTATAAAATATTCAATATTTTAAAAATTTGATATTCTAAATATTTTTAAAAATATATGTTTATAGTAACGGTAATAATTTTAAAAAAATATTTTAGCTATTAATATTTTTATTTTAAATGTTACTAAACTTTAAAAATAAAATAAAAATTATTCTAATAGAACTTGTGATCATCCCCTCTCTTTTTTCTTCTTTTTTAAAAAAAAAATTAATCAAACAGTTTTTATTAAAAACATTCTTAGAATTTTAGACACTTATCTCTAATATTTATATTTAGTTTTATATCTCTCAACTATTTCTTGCCTAACACATTAGAATTTTCTATAAACTTAATGTATATTAACTAATTGGTCCTAATACTTAAACTAGGAATACCTATCAAATTTCCAATGCAACAAATAAACAAAATAATTTTTTTTTGGGTGAAGATGGTTATAAATCGAAAGATGTTTTCTTTTTATAGGTAGAAGAATTGTTCTCTCCCTCTCATATCTTGTTGCTCTTTGCATTTGATTTCCATGTGTTGTTTGTTAGTGATCATGCAGAAGAAACTAAAATTAAATTGTAATTGCAAAGATTACATGATCGAGCTATTTTGTGAGAGAAACTTTACATGATTTAGATTCCAACCACTTAAAAAATACTAGATGTTGTTATTTTGTTTTTATTTTATTTTTATTTAGTTGGGATTAATTATTTTTGAGCTATAGTGTAATTAAAGATAAATTAATGAGGGAAAAAAACAAGCAAGATGAAGATTTTGTTTATATTTTTAAATTTTATTTTTAGATAAAAATACTATCAAATTTCCAATGGTTTATTATTTCGATTTTATTAAACTTGCTGGACGAAATTGGCAACGATTTATTTTTACTTTTTGATAAAAAAATTTTAGATGATTTGAATTAGAATGACTTATGCTAAATAAAGAAAGTCTCATGATTTAAGATGGTTTTCGACTCTATAAAAAAACTATCGTAAAAGATATCATTTAATAAAAAGTTCTATTTTTATTAATATTTGCATTGTATATTCAAGTTAGCATATCAATAAAAATATTTTTATCTAAAACAAATTGTATTTTTTAAGCAATGATTCAATGATAATAGTATTAATGGTACTCTTACCCAATTCAAATAGTTGAAAAAACCGAAAGAAAAAAATTCTAAACCAACAAAAACTAATATTTATTTAAAGGGGTCATACAAAACTAAAAAAATTTGTAGTTAGAATAAGGAATATTTCCAATGACTAATTATTTCCACACCATTAACTTAATAGTCTAAATCAAGTTTGGTAGATTACAAACCGAATCGATGTCGTACGTGAGCTTTCAAACTCACTGTAACACTGCTAATCATACTACTCCTTCCTTCCTTCCTTCACTTCTTTTAATTTCTTCCTTTTCAAATTATTGACCCACTTTAAAAAAAAATCATACACACCAAACCTTCATTCCCCGAGGGTAAACCAATCTACACCTCTATTTTCAATCCACCCTTCAACTTTTCAGAACATATAATGAGGATAATCATCATGATTCAGTGTCAACACTTGCCTGCCCTGACGTACAACAAAAGTCTAAACATGGTATTATGCAGGTGGCACATGGATTAGCGCTTGGGCCTTCTAGGAGCATATTGGGCTTGGAGCCAACTTGTTATGAACCAATAACTTGTTCTGACCCAATAAGTTGTTCACCTTGTGGACTAGGCCCAGTTGCAGGTGGATTTAAACCAAGGAAGAAAAAAACTAATCAATGACATATACAATAGTATCAAGATTCCCTTCTCACCCTCTTACTTCTCCTAACTTATCATCTCTAACTGTATCCATCCCTTTCATCCTCTTCCTCCTATCAACATTTCTCCCCCCATCACAACGCTACATTGTCCTTCCGCACCAGATTCTTCGTCAAGATTTTCTGGTGGTTCCGTATTATGTTGTGAATCCATCAATGATTCAGATGTAAATCAGGTTAATCCTCGTTTGAGGAAAAACATGGCTAACGTTCCTTCAAAGATTTGGCACTCAATTAAGGAACTAGGCATCGAGGGTGACGAAGACGATGAAGTTTTTGAAAGTATTATTCGAGACATGGAAAGCAGAGACAAAAGAGCTTTTAACAAAGTGAGGGAGAAAGCTATCTTTATCCCGTGAATGTGTTAACCTATAACATTTGTGGGTGTGAGAATTCTTTCAAAAGAAATAGAATTAAAAAGCTTCTTATCTCTGCTAACATCGACATCTGCTTCATCCAAGAATCTAAAAAGGAATCAATGGACGACAAACTGGTTTCTTCCCTCTGGTGTGATAAGAATTTTAATTGGTCAGCTTCTAATTCCGTTGGTTTATCTGGTGGTATACTTACAATATGGAAGAATGACATCCTCTACCTTATCTCAAGCTTTAGAGGTAAGGGATTCTTGGGGATTAATGCTACATGGATGGCCCCAACTATTATTTTGTCAATGTTTACTCACCCTGCAGTCTCCACGACAAAAGGATTCTTTGGTCTTCACTTTATGCGTAAGATTTTCTACATCACCTGAGGAATGACTTGTTTGCTAACACTTCAATGTAGTAAAAAACAAGGAAGAAAGACATGGTAAATGGGCGGGCTGTGCTGTTGAGATGGATGATTTTTGCCCATTCATAGATGTTATGCGCTTGGTCGATCTTCCTGCTGTTGGTAATCATTTTACTTGGTTAAATAGCAGCGGAAGTTGTCGTAGTAGATTATGCAGATTCCTATTGTCGGATAGTTTAATTGACAAATGGAGAATTACTGCTCAATATGTTAGGGATAAAGACGTCTCTGGTCATAGGCCTGTATGGATCAAAGCTAGTCATGTTAACTGGGGGCCCAAGCCATTCAAAGTCTTTAGCTGCTGGTACAAACATCCACAATTTCATGACTTTGTCAAGTCTGTTTGGGATTCTTCTGCTATTGGTGGTGATGCAACAAATGTGTTGTCAGTAAAGTTAAGACTCCTTAGAACGCGTCTTTGGTGGTGGAATACAAATGTTTTTGGGTTGATTGACTTAAAAATTAAAGATGAGGTTTCTAAAGTTAATAAAATTGAAGATGAGGTAACTTGGTCTGGGGAAGAAATCTCTGACAGTGACCTTAACATTAAAGCTACTGCACTAGAAGCTTTTTAGAACTACTCTCTGGTGAAGGAAATCATGATTATGCAAAAGGCGAGAACAAATTGGGTTCGTGAAGGTGATTTAAACACAAAATAATTTTACTCTCTGCTGAAATGTAGAACCAGACACAATGCTATTAAATATGCTTTTAAGGAATAGTTTGCCAATATGTTCTCAAAGCCTGCTTGCCTCGTCCTAGAATGAACTTTGGTGACCTGACCAAACTTTCGCCTGTTGAAATTTCATATCTGGAGAAACCTTTTGGTGATAACGAGATTCGTTCTGTTGTCTTCAATTGCGACGACAACAAAAGTCTGGGACCCGATGGATTTAACTTTGATTTCTTAAAATCATGTTGGGATGTTGTGGGAACTGATGTCTCAAACTGTATCAGAGAATTCCATTCCACTACTACTCTACCTAAATCTTTGATATCTTCTTTTATGCTATTAAATATGCTTTTAAGGAATAGTTTGCCAATATGTTCTCAAAGCCTGCTTGCCTCGTCCTAGAATGAACTTTGGTGACCTGACCAAACTTTCGCCTGTTGAAATTTCATATCTGGAGAAACCTTTTGGTGATAACGAGATTCGTTCTGTTGTCTTCAATTGCGACGACAACAAAAGTCCGGAACCCGATGGATTTAACTTTGATTTCTTAAAATCATGTTGGGATGTTGTGGGAACTGATGTCTCAAACTGTATCAGAGAATTCCATTCCACTACTACTCTACCTAAATCTTTGATATCTTCCTTTATTTCTTTAGTTCCAAAGATCGATAATCGGCAGGGGCTTGACGACTTCAGGCCTATATGTCTTATTGGATCCATTTACAAGATTATATCAAAAATTCTTCCTAGCTGTTTGAGTGTCTACATTGAGAAACTTGTTTCTAAGTCACAGACAAGTTTCATCCCTATTAGACATATCCTTAATGGTGTGGTTATTGCTAATTAAGTAACCGATTATGCAAAACGAAACAAATCAAGTTTCCTGCTATTCAAGATTGACTTTGCAAAGGCTTTCGACTGTGTTGATTGGAACTTTTTGCAACAAGTTCTTCAAGCTATGAGGTTTGGATTAACTTCGATACGTCTGATATTAGGAGGAATATTCAACAGCCATATGTCCATATTAATCAATGGCAGAACAAATTGTGATTTCAAGGTTTCTAGGGGATTGTGATAAGAGGACCCTTTATCCCCCTTCTTGTTCTCTTTAGTCGCGGAAGGACTTGCATCTTTGGTAAAAAAGGCTTCCTCATTGGGCATTTTCAAGGGTTTTAGTTTCAATGATAACGTTACCGTTAACTTCCTGCAATTTGTCGACGATACTATTTTGGTTTTTGACGGGTATCAAGGCAGTTCTTTGTGGTTTCAAATTGGTTTCTAGCCTGCAAATCAATTCCCACAAAATTTATATGGAGTTCATGCGACTGATTCCTTCATGATGGCAGCTGCAAATTTTCTGCCTTGCAAGAAGGAAAACATCCCTTTCAAATTCCTTGGTCTCACTATTGGTGGAAATCACAGACGCATCTCGCTTTGGCAACCGGTTATCTCTTCCTTCAAAAAACGAATATCGTCTTGGAAAGGGAGGTTGCTCTCTATTGGGGGTAGGGTTTCTCTAATCAACTCGGTATTGATGAACTTACCTATTCACTACTTATCCTTATTCAAAGCACCATCTAAAATCATTCAACAAAATATCTCTATCCAAAGAAAGTTTCTTTGGTCCAGTCATGCCAAATCCAATGGTATTTCTTAGATTAGTTGGAACTCTTACTACAAAGCTAAAGAGTATGGGGGCCTAGGCATCAAGCATGTGGGCCTCTTTAATAAAGCTTGATCGGTGGTTTTTACACGTTATTTTACCGTTTATGTCAGTTAATCATTTGTTTTGTCTTGTCGCATTTTAGTTGTTTTTATTACATTTTACGCATCGATTTGGTATTTTCACTGTTTCTAGGTTCAGGTATACAATAAAGGAGAAGCAGAGCGAAAACCGGGAAAAAAATGGCAAGATTTCGGAAGAGTTTTGTTGTGAAATCTTTAGCAGTCTGCACGAAAACGATCATAACTGGAGTTTCGGGAATCCTTTTAAGGCGTTCTAAAAACTGCCGGAAATCTAAGAGAGAGAGCTACGACCTTCGTGTTGGAGTCGAAGTCATATTCGAAATAGGGGTGCAACACGGGTGCCCGTGTTGTGTGACACGGCCTATGTTGCAGGATGTGCTCAGAAAAGGCGATTTTTGGAGAAAAAACAGTGGCACAACACGGGTGCCCGTGTCGTGTGACACGGCCCGTGTTGTGACACCTGGGACTTGCAAATTTCACACGAAAAATGTGTCAGGAAGCCAACACGGGCGCCCGTGTTGCCTGACACGGCCCGTGTTGCAGGAAGCGCTTTTTTCCCTATTTTTCTTGTATTTTTTACTCTTGTGATCCCCAAGGGTATTGGGGGTATTTCCCTAGTGATGAGTTTTAATTGAGACTATTTGATACGTGTTTAGAGAAAGAATAAGGGGCTTTTGGACAGAAAAGAATTTCACGATCAAGATTGCAGCAACCAAGGATTGGGGGAAACTGAAGGGTCTCATGAGCGGAAGCTATTGAAGATCAAGGCACCCCTATTATCTGTAATGTTGAATCTAGTTGTTGATTTTATTTTTATTATTATGAGTAGCTAAACCCCCCCCAATGCTAAGGGGTGTCCCTGATTTGACTATGTAATGACCTTGACCTTAATAATGGATTTCTCTGCTCTCTAATCATCGTTGTTATCGTATTTTGTTTTATGGTTTTTCTTATCTGAAAAATGAGAATATGAATTACGGTTAACCTTAGGTTTCGAAAAACAATTGTTAACGCGTTTATACGATATTACTATAGTAGATATTGCCTAGGAATGAGGATACCCTATAGTAACCGTAATGTTTTAGATAATGTAAATTGCTTGGGATTGTTTCTATACTGCTAAGGAATTGGGGTATAGGGAGAATACCAAAGGGTTTTCTGCTAAGGAATTAGAGTCAACTAATCTTTAAAATCGGTCACGATTGAATTGAGCAAATATTTCTAAAAACTTAGGATTGAGGTTGTTACAAGGTTATTTCATACACCCTACTCTAGCATGCTTCTCATAACTGTCTAAAACCTTTATTTTACTGCTTTTGCCTTTTGACCTTTAAAATTGTAAGAAACAAACCAAAACCCCTATGACTTTTTGTTCAATTGTATTATTTTAGAACTTGTGTTCATACGCAGTCCGCGAGATCGACCTTCAGGGAATTTCCCCTTATTACTACATCGATGTTCATACCTCTTGATCTCCTACATACATGTCAATGAAATGCAAATGATAATGCTAATGTGAATGAAATGAAACATAAGCTAGGTAAAGAAATGTTGGGCAAATTTTGGGGTGCAACAGGTACAATTAGTACACTTGCTAATTTACCGGTCAAGTTTTTGGCGCTGTTGCCGGGGACTGCTAGAATATAAGTTAGATCATAATTCAATTGAAATTTTGTTGCTCTGCGACCAAAATTTAATCTTCAGTTTTTTTTTATTTTTATTATTTTGTTACTACTAATCTGCGTCTAACATTTTCATGCGAGGAGACCCCTCAGCTAATTTTTCTTTGGACGCAAAAATTGAAAGGACTCTATGCGAAAGACGTAGACAAGCGAGATTGTTAGCTTCAGAAGAAGAAATAGTTTTTATTCATTCAGATTCAGGTTCGGAACCAGAAGGAGACACTAAAGCTATGGCGGATCCCCCACCAGCGGAGAGACTTCTTGGATACTATGGAGGGGCCCATGCTCAACCAGACCGGATGACCATCGTAAATCAACCGGTGAATGTGGCACATTTTCAGCTACATCTGTCTACCATTCGCCAGTTGGAGAGCAAGCCTTTCTCTGGAAGAATCAACGAAGATGAAAACAAGCATCTACAGAGATTCCTAACAACTACCACATCTTTGAAGATAGAAGGCCATTCTGAAGAGGCCAAGAGACTTGTTATGTTTCCGTTCACACTGACCGATGATGCGGAAGAATGGTTCTACTCACTTCCAGCTGGGAGTATCACAACATGGCAAGAAATGGAGAACGCATTCCTCAACGAGTATTTCCCTGGTTCAGTGTTTATTCGAAAAAGATACGACATTGTCAATTTCAAACAAAAAGAAGGGGAATCTCTGGGAGATGCATACAAGAGGTTTAAGAGGTGCCTGACTGCATGCCCAACTCATAACATGGATGCCACAGAGCAGATGCAGAATTTTGTGAATGGTTTGAGAATCAAGACAAAATAGCTTATTGATACTGCTGCCGGTGGCTCAACTAATTTCTCAACAGCCACTGGTATCAAGAGGATCATAGAAGCAATTGCCGCCAATAAGCATCTTGAGTTGTATGATCGCACTGTGAACCAACCAGAGGGTAAGATTGATTTGAAACTAGCAGAACAAGTGGTAAACATGGAAGATCGAATCAAGGCTGAAGTGGAAAGAAGGCTTAAAGGGATGAATGTGAGTACTGAAACTGTAGCTCAAGTTCAACCTGTCCAAGCTATTAGTTATGAGGTTTGTAATGGTCCTCATTATACTGTGCATTGTTTTGCAACTACTCAACAAGTTGAAGAGATAAAAATTTTGAGGCAAAAGAATCCTTATTCCAATACATATAATCCAGCATGGAAGAATCATCCTAACTTTTCCTGGAAAGACCCAAATCAACCCCCATATCCGCAACAACAACAACAACAGGCTCCTCAAAAAGCAGAATGGGAGTTAGCTATTGAAAGAATGGCATCTCAAAGTATGCAATTCCAAGAAGAGACCCGAAACATTCAAAGGAACAACACAACTTCCATCAAAAACCTTGAGTCATAGATGGGACAGATAGCCCAACACCTCTCAACACACGCTCAAGGAACCCTCTCGAGTGCGACAGTACCAAATCCGAAAAATCAAGAGAGTATTAATGTTGTCACAACAAGAAATCA